ATAAGTACTTTATTTCTTGTTTTTCATGTTTATTCTCTGTCTAATTATAAAAGTAACTAAAATCTAAAAATATGGACCTTTTTAAGTTATTTAAGACTAGATTAGGTAAAATAAGTAATAATAATAATATACTTAAAATGGTTCATGTGGCTCGCACGCAAGCAGCTCGTAGGTAATGTGATTCGATAACATAGTGTGACCTGCACATTCTTCGAGTGATTTACAACATTTTATGCCGCAGATAGTAGTTAGATGCAGTTCAAAGGGCAATAAAACAATAAAATTTAATTATAAATAGATGTATAATGCTAAGAACTTATCCTAAGTTACTTAGGATGAATGAATGTAGAGATTACACAAAGGAAATTTGAGATGAGAAAAAGTATTTTTAATTTTAACATGAAAATCACTTTGCACACGGACTATTCAAAACAAATACTCAATAGATTCATGGACAGATCTTTTTTTTTTTGTTTATTAAAAAAAACCACTACTGAAAGACTACCAAATTTCGTGAATATATACACACTATATCAAAAGTTAGTAGTATCAAATCTATAAAGACTATACGAATTCATTTAATTATATATTACCTATAACCAATAAAAAGCCAAGATTCTCATCTATCAAACAATGTTTTCTATTACGTTGTGTCCTGAACACAGGATAGTCAATTTCACTGGTAGTACAAATTTGGTTCCCACAGGAATGACAACAGCTAGCTTGGATGAATTTGTAACAGCTCTTTTCTCATAGTTAGAAAGCTAGAAAAATTGTGATTGTCAGAGGAAATTGTTTGGTTTATGCATGTTATTATTCTATGTCTTATTTAATTAAATAAAAATTACTTAATGCACTACTACCATTAGTATAAGAAAAAGTAGGGTTAAGTGTCATCAGTAGTTGACAACAAAATATGAATACTCGGGTAAGTACTTTATTTGTTGTTTTTCATTTTTATTATTTATCTATTGTTATAGAAGTAACTAAAATGTAAAAAATAGAGATCTTTTTTAGGTTAGTTAAAGGTTAGATTAGGTAAGATAAACAATATTAATAATATGATAAAAAATATTTCAAGAAGCAACTTGGAGTAGCTCATGGGTAATACAATTCGATAGTATAATGTGAGCTGCACATTTCCCAAGTGGTTTACAACTTATAGTGGCAGGAATAGTGGTTAGACATGGTTCAAAGGGCAATAAAACAATAAAACTTAATTATCTAAGATGTATATTGTCAGGAGTTTAAAGCTAATTAGGATAAATGAATGTAGTTTAATGCTACATTTGAAGTCATTCTAGAAAGAAAAGGAGGGTAATTTAGATTTATTGATTTTTTTTGGTGGTTACAAGGTCAGTCTAATTGACCAACCTTGTATAGAGTTAGGGTAGAGAAAATAACAGATAAAATATAATGTTTTAATGAAATAAAATGTTTGAAATGTTTTAGGAGGTTTCAGAGATTACACAAATGAAATTTGAGTTTTTGAGATGAAGAAAAGTATTTTTAATCTTAACATGAAAATCACTTTGCATGTGGACTATTCAAAACAAATATTCATGGACAAATCTTTTTTTTTTTAGTTTCTTTAAAAAACTTCACTAAAAATATGATCTTTTGTATGTGAAAGGCTTATGTTTACTGAAAGACTGCCAAATTTTGTAAATATACACACACTATATCAGAAGTGGAGAGAGAGTTAAGTGATCAAATTCTGGCATACATTAGTGTGTTTGTATATATATATATATATATTGAGAGCATTAAACATATATTGACTGACAGTAATGTCTCAATATCAGTTTGAATGGTTTCTTCATAATTTATAATATTACATGTATATTTGATACTGGTTATAAGAAATTGTAACTTTTGGAATTAAAATAAAAAGAAATATGCATTTAAGATTTGTGTTTTTCATGTACCTTGTAAAATACTAATTTTTATTTTATGCTATTGAGACTTCGTGATTATAAAACTGAGATTGTCTCTTCTTGTAGTGTCTACACTTTCACACTACTACATAACTGCTTATTCAGATTTTGTATTTTAATTTCTACACTGATGGACTACTATGTAAATGCTGACTCAGGTTTTCTTTTCTATTATCTATACAATTGCTGACTTAGATTTTCTTTTCTTGTAGTGTCTTCACTGGCTGATTATGTCGTATGTGCTGACTCAGATTTTCTCTTTTCTGTAGTGTCTACACTTGCGGATTACTACGTAATTGCTGGAGTGGTTTTTCAGGCTCCAGATGTTGGCTCAGTGATTAATTCACGTCTGGTGAGTTTGTAGTTATCAGTGGTTGTTTTGCCTACTTAGCTTGTTCCTGTACTAATCATCTACTGTTCCACTAATCATGGGATGAGTAAACAACCCTCCACTAAAAAAAGGCTATCTCTTTGTTTTGAACCCTGTTGTATGATGGAAAATATAATGTGAAAAACACTAAAAGTTTATTTTTAACAGTTGGAATGTGTCGCACACAATGAAAAACATAAGTTTATGATTGTAGTTGACAATTTTATGGTAAATTATTAAACTAGTATTAAATACAGATTTAACCCTCAAAGTTCTCTCTGTTTTTATATCATTCACTACTGGTGGGTAGAGCTGGACTATTAATCCATATGATCAAATGCTGCTGGACAAAAATTAGTTTCACATAAAATAATCAACTAATCAAAATTGGTGTTTTTGATTATTCCAACTATTCAAGTGAGAATAATAAACTCATTGAATGTAATCAATTAATGTGCTAGGTGATTGCTAAATTCCACATATTGTATCATATTTAGTT